AGTTTTCTATCGTTAGATTATAAGTGCCTTACAACGTTAAGCAGTCACACTGTGAGCTTTCCCATCGATGATGGGCGTAAGCCTGTGTTTTCCTCTTTCCAGCAATACTCAGGGCGTTTCATTCCCCAGCGCCTTGTGTGACCTCAGCCTCAATAGGTCCTGGAGTATCCTAGTTTATCCTTTCTCTGTACTTAGTCCAGCAGAGTCTGCTGTGCTAAGCATGCTTCCCATCTCTGCTGATTTTGCTATCTGATTGATATTAGGGATATGACTAAAAAGTGATTTTGGTAAAATGCGTCCAGGACTTCCGTGTGTCATCTGGAGCCAATTAAAGTCTGATGGTGAAGGGAGGTGGATGCCACTTCTACTTTGGAGGCTTCCATGTAGATCTGACCAGGATCCATGTTGTCAGTCTTCCAAATATAGCCAGTCTTCCGGTTAAAGTTTTCCTTCATGCATGCATGCATTTTATAAAACAAACCCAAGCCCAAACCGTGAAGTGTAGTCGTGAGGCTCAGCAGTGGGTGGTGGGAACACGGACACCCTTGCCCTTGCTTGCTTACCCTTGCTTGTTGGGGAAACTGCTTTCTCCAAATACTGCTTCTGATGTGGGTGACCGCTAGGCAGGAGAATAGAATCCACTCTAAACTCTCAGTGATCCTGTGATCATTATCCTCTGACATTGAGCTAAGTGTGCAAAGTGTATTGTATTTGTCTGTGTGCTTACTACAGACATGATTAAAGAGATGAAAGGAGTCAAAACTGTAATGAAAGAACAATGAAAAAGGAATCAGCTGATTTTTTCAAAAACTAGAACTTTGAAAAATGAAAGTCCAGGTCATTAATCTCTTATGATGATCAATATGATATGTCATTATGGAAAATGCAGAGAAGTATGAAAAGAAAAAAAATCACCCCACAGAAACACCACTGTTAACATTTCAATATCACTCCTCCTTTTTCTGTGTGCCCATAGGAGTGTGTGTAAAAACTAGCTGCTATCAGACGGTAGTATTGTATCAGGCCATTGTCATTCATTGTTATAGCATCAGTATTTCTTCATATCATTAATGTTCTTAAAAATTGTATTTAATGGCTGCTTTATATTTTAGTAGTTATGAATGAACCATAGCTTTTCATTTTTGCCAGGCCTTATTCCACAAAGAATTTAACATAGTGTATCAGTTAGGAATTATTTTGTCTGCAAACAACAAAAAAACCCTAATTTGAGCAAATAGGGTTTCCCCCCTCAAATAAGAAGTCTCGAAGTGGCTGATGGGGTTGATTCAGTGGTTCCACAATGTCACAGCAGGTGCTCTGGGACTTTCTTGACTGTTCTGTCATGCTTATTGACTCATGCTTACAAGGTGGCTGCCCAGCTCCAGGCATCACATCTATACTCCAAAGGGAAAGAAAGGGAAAGGGACAGCACAAGTATTAATAGCACCTGCCTTTTTCTTAAAAAACCAAAGCTTTCCCAGACATTCCCCAGCAGACTTTTTACACCTCACTGAGAAGAACTGCCTTTTATATTCACCTCCACCCTCAAGGCGGGGTGGGAAAGCAAGCATTTTTCTTCCCAGTCACATTAGAGGCAGGTAAGGGAGAGGAGGATAGGAGTAGACGCTGGATTGGCTGGACTACAGTGTCGGCCACAGACAGCCAGCTGCCTCCATTCATCCTTTATGGAACATTTCTGTTTCCAGTTATTCCTCTTGTAAGTAACATCACAATAAACCATGTATATACATTTGTCCAAATCTCTGATTCTTTCCTCAGTATGACGTCCTACACATAGGACTACAGGTCAAAGGTGTTGTTACTTTTATGTCTCTCATACTACATTACCACATTCCTTTCCGGAAAGATCTTACCACTGGGCACCACCACGCAACGTGCACGAGAGCTGGACGCACCTGTTCAGGACACACTCTCTGTCGTCCCGTGTCTAGGACTCGGAGTCCTGGCCACTGCCAGTGCGCAGGTGAGCATCTGGATGGTAACAATTCATCTCTCTGGCAGGTTGCACTGGGAGGTCATGATGCGATTCCAAGGGCACAGGTTTGAGCGTTTTGCAGCACCTGGGCCTAAAGGAGTCTGGGGCGGGCCAGGCCGGCAGGAGGAGCAATGAGGAGCTGCGGTCAGCTTCCCCACCCGCCTCCGTCTGGTTTAGCAATTGAATAGTTGTTGAGCCCCATTTTCTCAACAGGTGCACTGTGGGCATTTGGGGTGGGACAGTCCTTTCCTGTGAGGTCACCCCCAACACTGCAGAACGTTTTGCCTCCCTGGCTGCACGGGAATCTGCCGGCAGCAGTGCCCATTCTGTGACAAGCAGAAAAGTCCCTTCCCTCCCTGTGCTCTGTGCCACCAGCCTGCGTGGGGAGCCCACCAGGCCCTCAGTCCCAGCACGGCACGATGACTGCTCTTCAGCAAGAACTGCCTGAGCATCTGGGAAAGTAGCCAGAAGAAGTACTAAGTACCCGCACCGACCTCTCCTCGGACACCTCCAAAAAGGCAGGCTGCCCAGCTGTTCTGCCTGCGGATGCCCAGAAGGAAAGGCTGCACGTGCCAGCCCCACCCTGAGGACCAGGCTGAAAGGGGACAGAGCCCGCAGCGGCCGGTGCTCTCTAGAGACCAGAGGCCGTGCTGGTCCTGGGAAGCTCAGCAGGTGGGGGTGCGGGAGGATGGAGGGAACCTCTTGGAACTGAGAGGGGTGACAGCCATCAACCAGGGCAGAGCATGGGTTTGGGCCTGAGGTGGCCACCCTCAAGGGGACTCGGGAGGCAGGTCAGCAGGCTGGTCCCGGCCAGGGCTGGGTGTAGGCTGGAGAAACAGCACGTGCTGGACCAGGTCCTGATGTGCTTTGATACTACCATGGTCTTTGTCCTGTGCAGTGTGCACCCAGAGGCCCGGCGGTGCCGTGCTCAGGGGTGTGTGAGGGGATCAGCAGATCACAGGGTCAGGGCGGAGGGCAGAGTCGCCATTTGGGGGCCTCGAGACAGTCCGTGGGGAGCTGCCACAGGCAGGCACTTGGTGAAGAAGCAGGAAGTAACCTGGAGTGGTTCCCTGGCGTCCTTCAAGGGGAAGAACGATCGTTTCGTGTTCGGTAGTCAGGTTTCCAAAGTAAAACATTCTACTCTCTAAGAACTCGCCAAAAGGTGCAGCCACAGCATGAGATGAGGAGATTGGCAGGACGCGTGAGTGGTGAGATTTCTCTCAAGAGCTCCACTGGTGGAAGCGAAACACTGGAAGTTTATTCCAAGAGAAAGTTTTTCTTTTTTAAGAGAAAGTTGACATTTAGATGTTTCTTTAGATTGCTAGTGAGTTAAGTTTTCTTTTGTTTATTTGCCTTTGAACCAACTCGTAAAAATTAATGTTTTTAAAACATTTTAGAATTTAAAATGAAAAGTGTTTTCTTTGGTTCCTCTGGGGCCTTGAGCACATTCTTACAGCTGAGGTCACTTTCCCCACCGCGAAGAATGGAGCTGCCTTTCCGTTCCCGTTCGCAGCGTCCGGCCTGTTGAAGCAGCAGTGACACAGGACTGACCTTTCTCCCCTGTGTCTACGGGGGCCGCTGCCATCTCAAAAACAGCCCACAGTCTCACCTCCGTCCAACCCTGTGCGTGACTGTGGTCCCTGTTGTACACGGGCTTGGAGAGGAAGCCCCCTGCCCGGGGACAGTTACCTAACATTTGCTGAGTGGGGGCTGAGGGTAGCCACTGCCTCTGTTGTGCTGGCACCTCTGAGCCCAGGCGGGTGAGGCTGGTGAGCCCTGCCCAGCGCCCGTGGGCACTCAGCCCAGAAGAACAGGTCCGGTGCTGCCCCCCAAGACTGAGTCCGGATGCGCTGCTTTGCCCTCTGCGTGCGCTGGGCACCCGCGAGTGCTGGTGGTAACCGGCCACTGCAGGCCCTGCTCTTGGCAGAGTGACTGTGCCCGGTTCACCCCAGGTGCTTCCTCAGGCACTTAGCACCACCCTGGTCCCTCTGTGCCTCTGCCCCTATCTGCCACCAATCCGGCTTTGCCCAGGTGTCCAGTGTGGACAGTTGATTTTAGGTGGTCATCGATTGACACTGAATCGCAGGATGAAAAGATCATTCCCGTATCAATCCCGTTTCCACCCGAATGGCAGCCTTGGAGAAGGGCTCAGTTTAAGGCTAGTCTATCTTTAACACCTCCTAATCCTCCTCTTTTAACCAAAGAGAGCTTATACCCAGAGCTTTTGGCAAACAATATCCAGTAGAATGTAACAATTTTTTTGTCATCAATGTATTCATTATTTTTTTTAAGAGAAGTAAGCCTTTATTTTCCTTGTTTCACAAATAAAGCTGGCTGAGTTGTTGACGTATTTATTTTAAAGCTACCGTCCATTTAAGGTATTAATGCCAATCTTCCATTGACAGCAGTAATGTAAAATCTCCTATTTAAGATAAATTTAAACACTAAAAGAGTTGACGCGAAGACAGGAAAAGCAGATAATAGAAGGGGCATTAGGTTAGCTGTGAAGGTGGCATGTGCGTGGGAGTGACAGCCACTTGGGAGGCTGGAATCCCGCACGAACTGCAAGGCCTCCACCAGGAACTGGCCCAAGCTTGGGACGGAGCCCCAGAGGTCCTGCAGGGACCGGTCCGGGAGGGGTGGGCGGGGAGCCGGGAGGCCAGGGGCAGTCATTTCTGTTGCAGCTCTGGCTTCCTCCCCTCTGAAGGGTAACCTGTGGCTCCCCGGTTCATGCCAGCGCTTGCCCAGCGTGGCAGCGGCTCGGTGGCACGCTGGTGCGCAGACGCGTGTCGCAGCCTGCTCGCCGCATGATGGCGAGATGCCCGATGCACACACATCGCTGCGGGGAGCTGCCCGGGCCGCCCACCTTTGGAAGTGGGAGCACAGACGCCCGGAGAACGACGTTCTGGCGCCATCCAGCCGTGACAGTGGCCTGTCCCTTGGGTGGGGGACTCTGCAACCCACCCGTCCAGCCTGCGTATTAACGAGCGTGTTCCCCTTCCAGGTTAGGAATCGGGAGCAATGGGCGACTGGAGCTTCCTGGGGCGACTCCTGGAGAACGCGCAGGAGCACTCCACGGTCATCGGCAAGGTCTGGCTCACCGTGCTGTTCATCTTCCGCATCCTGGTGCTGGGCGCCGCGGCCGAGGAGGTGTGGGGCGACGAGCAGTCGGACTTCGTGTGCAACACGCAGCAGCCCGGCTGCGAGAACGTGTGCTACGACAGGGCCTTCCCCATCTCCCACATCCGCTTCTGGGCGCTGCAGATCATCTTCGTGTCCACGCCCACGCTCATCTACCTGGGCCACGTGCTGCACATCGTGCGCATGGAGGAGAAGAAGAAAGAGAGGGAGGAGGCGCTGCCGCGGGGCGACGGCCCGCAGCAGGGCGCGGCCGGCCCGGGGGACAAGCCCCCGGCGCGGGACGACCGCGGCAAGGTGCGCATGGCCGGGGCCCTGCTGCGGACCTACGTCTTCAACATCATCTTCAAGACGCTGTTCGAGGTGGGCTTCATCGCCGGCCAGTACTTCCTGTACGGCTTCGAGCTGAAGCCGCTGTACCGCTGCGACCGCTGGCCCTGCCCCAACACGGTGGACTGCTTCATCTCCCGGCCCACGGAGAAGACCATCTTCATCATCTTCATGCTCGCCGTGGCCTGCGCGTCCCTCCTGCTCAACATGCTGGAGATCTACCACCTGGGCTGGAAGAAGCTCAAGCAGGGGGTGACCAACCGCCCGGGCGCCGAGCCCGCGGAGGCCGGGGTGGTGGCCGCGGAGCCGCTCGCGCTCCCCGCCGCCTCGGGCCCCGCCGCCGTCGCCATCGGCCTCCCGCCCCACTACACGCGCTCCGCCGCGCCCCCCGCGCAGGCCGGGCCGGCCGGCTACCCCGCCTTCCCGCCGCCGGCCGACTTCCAAGCGGTAGCCCCGTCCGAGGCGCCCGGGAAGGGCCACTCCGCCAGACTCTACAGCGGCCACCACCTGCTGATGAGCGAGCAGAACTGGGCCGGCCCGGCGGCCGAGCAGCAGGCCCCGGCGCGCAAGGCCTCGCCCGCCGCGGCCGCGCCCAGCCCCGCGGGCAGCAGCCCCGGGCCGCTCCCGCCCGACGGCGCCGACACCGAGGCCGAGGCCGAGGCGGGGGGCGCGGCGCCCCTGCTGCTGGCGGACGGCAGCGGCAGCAGCCTGGAGGAGAGCGCCCTGGCCGTGACTCCCGAAGAGGAGGAGCAGGCGGTGACCACCGCGGCCGAGATGCACGCGCCGCCCTCGGTCCCCGCAGACCCCGCAGACCCCGGGCGGGCCAGCAAGGCCAGCAGCGGGCGGGCCAGACCGGACGACTTGGCCATCTAGTGGTGGCCTCTCCAAGCAGCTTCATAATATTCTTGTTTCTAGAAACCAAAACCAAAGTGCAGTTCAAACCAGCAGGTAGAGGCTGAAAGTGAACCGCTGGAGGCCCGGGAGGCGGACGATGGAGCAGAAGAGATCAGGTTTCCGTGTTTAATGCTTGCTGTTCTTAACACTGTGAGTTATAGTGGGGGTGACACCAATGTTGCTGAGATAGAGGGGTGGGGGGACACAGGGGGGCGAGGGTTGTTGGCCTTTAGAGATCTTCCCAGCAGCCCAGCAGCCCAGCAGCCCAGCAGCCCGGCTGCTGTTGGGCCTGGGCCGCGCATCTCTGCGGGTAACTGTTCTGTTGCGGCAAAGCAACAGGTGTCTGCAGGCAATTAGCTTTTCCATTCCTAAGCTCTCCAGAGCCTCTGGGCCGCCCAGAGCAGTAGACACACTTAGCTCTATCTCTGTTTGATACTTTTAACTTAGAGTTGGATTTCATTTGGCTATTTGCCAAACTGCACTAAAAAAAGATTTAGAGCAAGTCTATACAGTGTCATTTGGGTTTCTGAAATGCATGGGAAGCCCAGGATATCAAACTGCAGGCTTCATGACAAGTGACAAAGAGCATTTACCCTCCAGAGGCAGATTCCATGGGCAAGGGCCACAGAGGTTGCTGGTAGAAGGCAGGTGGAGATGCAGGGACATTTGAGATGCTTTTTAAACTGCTGAGGAAATTGACATAAAAGTGTGTCAGGTATGCCTTAGGTATTTATTTTTTAAATGATACTTTGTGCTTTGATCTGAATGGTACAGATAGGTCTATTTTCTCCTACTTTCAGGAAAAATGAAAAAGAAATAATACTGTTAAAATGGATACTGACCAAGAGGATGCTAATTTGTCCTAATACGTATTAGTAAAGATTTTGAACTTTCTTTTTAAGAAAATTCTTCCACTTTATGAGTCAGCTAATCACAATGAGAATGTACTATATAAAATAAAAGCAGGGGAAAAATTTCAGTTCATTTCAAATACCTGAAGTTGTGAAGTTTTTGAATGGGAAGTTAAAAGTTAACTATGTTGCCAGGAAAATTATTTATACAGATGAATCAATGACGATCTACGCGTTGTTGTTTTTTTTTTTTTTTTAAGACAGTACAGAATAAAACACTTCAAGTTTCCTAACCATTCTTTGTGGGCAGCCTGTTTGCTTTCTAAAGTATAAATAAAAGCGTCTGGGTTTTCCTGCCTGGGTTAGGCACGTGCGCCCTGTTTCCATCCACAGGAGAGCCGTCCTGACGGGGAGGCTATTTCTGTGTGTGGGCGTGGCTGCCCTGGCAGAATTTTCTGTACGGCACACACTGCTGTAGCGTCCCGGTCACTCTTTGTTTATAAAACCATGAACAATGGTAATGTTGAGCCTGTTTCTACTCACACTTTTCACCTCCAGCTTCCACTGAGTATCGTTAGCCCTTATGCAGCTAAAGAGCGTACACTTTCCAATTTAATTTCTTTCTTTTCATCAGTTACTTTCATTTCTGGATGATTCATTTGGGGCCACACTCCACAACATACTTTCTGTTTTGTATCATAAAGGGTGCTCCACTAACCATCTGATGAAAAGAATGCTCTTTCCAATTCTCAGATTTCTGTGTGCAGCTAGTGTTTCATGTCAGTCAAACACAAATGGTCATTAGTGCATTCTGCTTGCAGTAGGATGCACGGGACGATAGAAATGCTAGCTTTCCGTACATGTCCTTGAAGTGTTTCTCAACCAGATTGAGAAAGAGAGAGAGAATTAAGCCCTTTGGAAGAATTATCTGAGTCACTCTTTTCTCACTTCTCCCCTGGCTAGTGCCTAACTAGGGCCATTCTGGACACATAGCTGCTCTCCAAAGTGAACTCATCACGTGCAGTGGATGCCTTAGGCTTAGGGCAGCAGGATTTAGTCCTCCCGAGTGAGAAGGGTGCTGGAAAATCCTAGTGTGAACGCATTCTGATAAAAGCTTTGGCCGTTTTGGAAACTGCCATAGTAGTCATCAGAGGGCGCAAAGACAGTCACAGAGTGGATGTGAATACTTATTCGGTCCTCTAAGTTCTGCCATACTAAATGTTAACAATAATGATGAGCTTCTTGTTTATCCACAATTTGATTTTGATTGGGGTTGGAGAGAGTGAGAACTAGAATCGTATTTAGTTTTTACATCTTAAAATCGAATTTACTCACAATGTGTGTATGGAAATGCTAGTAATAGATGACTGATCGTAGTCTGGCCCATTTAGTGAATGGGTAGGAGTGTAAGATTAGAGTCATGTACTTGAAAATCACTAATATATATAAAGAAGTGAGATTTTGCAGTAGAACAGTGCCCGTGGTATTTTTTTCAGGCTAGTGTACTGACTTCAATTCATCTAACAAATGAAAGCATGCCTTGCATCATGTCGCCCTCGGAGGTATCCGTGATCCTGACGGCCAAGTCCTTCTCCCTCATGGGCAGTGTCCCATTGTTCTTAGTCATTTTAAGCATCGAAATGTGCAATTAAAATAGAAATTGCCTCTCCCTCTGGGCAAGATTCCAGACATATTTTTCCTATCCTGTTAATTACTTGGAAATGACAGCGAGACTATTTTTCCCTTGAAGTAATAGAAAAATTTTAAAAATCCCTAAGCCTATTTTAAAGCTCAAACACGATACCTGTTATGTTTACACACATGATTTTTAATCTGTGGTATACAATTACTTCTTATATCCTTGTTTTTATAAAATGTTAAACATCACTATAGTCACAGTACCAAAATACATTTTTTTAAATTCTAAAACATTCTTATATTAAAACTCTCTTTCTTTCTCCTTTTTAAACCTTATTTTGCTGAGTTATTCTTGTTTTTTTTTTTTTTAATAAAATTGACACATGAAAACATCCTTCACTTTAAAATGAAAAGGAAAGGGGAGAGAAAGGGAAAGAGCAAGCCGCCGCGTATCTGATGACAGATCCTGACTTTCTTTGATCTGGACAAGTAAACGGATAGATCGTAAAATTCTTATTCAAGAATACATAGAATAATAACTATGAATATAATTCCAGCATCACTTTACAAAAAAATAACCTAATGGGGTTTATGCCTCTTTTCAGTTGAGACTTGTTAAAAATTATTATTAACACTTTCTTTAATTCTTTAGTATTACTGAATAAAGTTCTCTTTTGTGAAACTTTTTCTTTTAAACTTTTTCTTCTGATATCTGTAACATTAATTCATGGATCATCACCAGAATAAATACTTGTAGAGAGTATTACACGACCGAAGAGGGTAAATGGTTTTTGTAAAGGTCAATAGATTCTTCCCACCAACCACCACCCTGCCCCGCACGTTTTGGATATTCTAGATAACCCTAACTATCACATATGCACATTGTACGTTAAAGTCAGGGAATATATTTCTCCTCCTAATATCATGCTACACTGCAAATCTTGAGTCGACCCTCTCGAAGATTCCTTACTGCCCAAAGAACTGTTTCCCCTTTACCTTTACACAACGTCGTAATACTCTTTATGGTCAGTTAGGGCTTTAAATAACACTAAAAGCCGTGAACTGTTTCTAGAGAGTACTATATTTGAAGAGGTTTGGTGTGTAAATATTAACTTAGCTCATATATTTACAAAACTCTTACTAAAACTTAATCTTTGTGCCATAACACTGTCTTTCCCAGACTACATTGTAACTGAAAACAAGTATTTTCTAAAATAAGTAATAAACAGCGGCCTTAAATTTAAATTGCCAGTTCTGTAGTTGGTTAATTGTTTTCACTGACAGGTCCCTGAGCAGGTTTTCGAAATGGCAGTTTCGTTCTGTCCCACACAATGAGGAGCAGCTGGAGAGGTCGCCGCGGCGGCTGTGGGTCTTGCCACGCATCGTCCACTCCGCACAGGCGCCGTCCGAGGTCCTGGCCTTGCAGGCTCCGGCGCTGTCTTTTGCAGAAACCAGCTCCCAAACGTTCACCCTTCTGTCGCCGTGCGCCCCCTTCTCCGCGGCTCCCTCTTGCTCTGGGGCTGGAGAGCGGGCGATCCGGAGTCCGGGTGTCGGAGCCTTCCCCGCTCCGTAAACGCGGGTCGCAGCGGAGGGGACCGGGGACGCTCAGCACGCGGCCCCGCCAGACACAGATCGGGAAGTTCACGTATTTCAGAGGACACGTGCGAACGCCTGCGGGAGGCACGGTCTGGGGGGACAAGACTCTGCTGGGGCCGGGCGCGGCGGCTCACTCCTGTCATCCCAGCTCTCTGGGAGGCCGAGGCGGGAGGATCGCTCAAGGTCAGGAGTTCGAGACCAGCCTGAGCAAGAGCGAGACCCCGTCTCTACCAAAAATAGAAAGAAATTAATTGGACAGCTAAAAATATATAGAAAAACTAGCCGGGCATGGTGGCGCATGCCTGTAGTCCCAGCTACTTGGGAGGCTGAGACAGGAGGATCGCTTGAGCCCAGGAGTTTGAGGTTGCTGTGAGCTAGGATGACGCCACGGCACTCTAGCCGGGGCAACACAGTGAGACTCTGTGTCAAAAAAAAAAAGACTCTGCCCTGTGGAGGGAAATGTCAGGCCGCAGCCTGGCGGGGCCCTTGGGGACCCCTGGACGGGAAAGCAGAGCCGAGGGGCGCAGAGCGCACCCAGGCGCCCCGGGAGGGCCAGGCCCGCGGGCCCTGCAGAGCTGGGCCGGTGCCAACGAAGAGGGTGGCGAGCGGAGGGAGGAGGCCGAGGCCGGGTCTGGTCGGGGCAGGGGTGGCCAGCGCAAGCCCGGGCCCCGCACAGCTGCAGGCTACAGCAGCAAGCTATCGCTCGCGGTCCGGCCAGCAGGCGTCCTCTCCCGTCGCCGGGGACGCACCGTCCCGCAGGGGCCTCCGGGGTCATCGCGGCGCCCAGGGGCTGAATCCTGCACCCTCCTCTCCAGCCCGTGACGTTGGGAAAGTTATGTCCCCACTCTGACTTTATAGGCGAATTTTCTCGTCTGAAAACGGAAATAAAGTTTC